GGCCTTCTTGGTCTTCTTGCCGCGGTGGTGGGGCTCGCGGGCCTCAATGGCGTGGTCAGCAGCATCGTCGACAGAAGCCTCATCGCGGCGGTTGCGGTTAGCCTTCTTGGTCTTCTTGCCGCGGTGGTGGGGCTCGCGGGCCTCGATGTCACGAGCCTCAAGAGCCTCGTCGGTGGTGGCCTCGTCACGGCGGTTGCGGTTGGCCTTCTTGGTCTTCTTGCCGCGGTGGTGGGGCTCGCGGGCTTCGATGTCACGCTCCTCTACGGCAGCATGGTCGACAGCCTCGTCGATGGAGGCCTCATCACGACGGTTGCGGTTGGCCTTCTTGGTCTTCTTGCCACGGTGGTGAGGCTCAGGCTCACGAGCCTCAATGTCACGGGCCTCAAGGGCATCCTCGACGATGGACTCGTCACGGCGGTTGCGGTTGGCCTTCTTGGTCTTCTTGCCGCGGTGGTGAGGCTGTGGTAGGTTGTTAGAACATGGGAAAGCTTTTGACCATATATAGACAAGCGTCTTACCTCACGAGCCTCGATGTTAACGGCCTGGGGCGCGGCAACGGCAGGAATGGCAAGTGCCAAGGCGGGAGCCTTAATTAACTCATATTAGCGCACATGTCCCCCACTGTATAAACTCATGATGGTGTCCAACTCACCACCACGCGTCTGGCAACCTCGCCATTGGGGATGAGGTTGAGGGACTGAACGCCCTGGACGGCAAGGATGCTCGCCAAGAGGAAGTGGCCGAAGGAAGGGTAATGCATCTTGATGGAAAAGGAATGGTAAGGCTGACCGGCAGCGAATGACAGCAACTGAAATTACAGAAAGGAAGAGAATGAAAAGTCGCGTCAAGCGATTAGGGGCCAACTGTGGAATGAGAGGTTTGAATGGTCAGATGTTTGTGGGCTGATGAGCGGGTTTGAGTGATTTATATCTAGCTCAAGTCTTCTCTCTCGTCCTCCAGAATCACTCCTGTGCCTGACGGGGGGAGTGGATGGATGTGACATGGCCCCCCCTTCCGGCAGATGTCGTCCCCCAAACCTCATCGCGAGTTGTACGTCGGGGCAGGGGTCGGGGCCCCAAGTTTAGACGAATTCCTTCGACTTCGAAGGCGTCAAACTGTGATCGTCCTGCTCTGCTAGACCAGAAACGTCTCAGAGTTCGAGTGAAAGGGTCTAGAGGGGGGTGGTTGGTCACGGAGTTGGGGCACTGGGGGAGGGAAGAGAGACGGGCAGGCAGGGTCACGGGCTATGACGGCTTGTTCTGCAGACACAATGGAGAGAGTTGCTCGGACTGGGCTAGCCGTAGAGACGGGACACCATTCAAAACTGCCCCAGGACCACGCCTGGTGATGTCGAGGATCGTTGGGTAGTGCGGGGATGGGGCGGTCTGGGTGGCTTGCTGGGATTCGAGCCGTTACCCGCGTCTCTGCGTATTCCAGCGGCATGCGCTCGCTTCAACAAGCATAATATCTTATTGGCGATAGGAATGACCCTGGTTGGGCCTCGCTTACAGTTTCAGTCTGCGAGGAAGTCGGGCCAGGGGTGTTTTGTGGAGGCGCCTCTTTCTCGTTTGGTGGTTTGGGAACGAGGGAACGAGGGAAGACGACAGGGCTCCCAGCTAGATCTGATGCTAAGCCTGATCGACAGGCCGTTACGGAAGGTGTTCACGACACCGGCGCGGTCAGGGCGAGGGAGCCAGATGTGAAGAGAAGAGGGATGGGTGACCACTGAGAGACGAGGTGGTGTTGGGAGTGGACAAATGCGGCATGCGAGATTGGCTACGGTTAGTGAGAGAGCCGCACAGGGGGGCGGTCTTCGGTCGTCCCTCTGATACAGCAGCAGTCCCAGGCTGCCAAGACAATGACACGCCGAAGGTGGAAAAGAACCCGACTCGCAAGGTGTGGAAAACGAAGCGTCCCACTCTGGCAGCAGCGGCAGCAGCAGCAGCAGCAGAGCGAATGTGAGGTTGCGGCAACAAGATGCCGGGGCGGTGTTGAGCCGCAGTGCCGCCCACCACCCTGCGGCCCTGCGCTGCCTGCCTCATGGGTGTGGCCCGGGCGCTTTCCCAGTTGGTGCAAGTCTCTGGCTGAAGATGGGACAAATTTGGGGGTAGACTTTGGTTCCTGGCTGAAGTCGAGGCGGGCAAGGGTGTGTGGTTGTCTGTCAATCCAATTCAAAGTGGTGGAAAGGTGGGATCGAGGTTTGGTGTTACCGTGTTGATGGGGGACACTAGTAAGGGGGGGCTAAAATCTCCGCAATGCCAAGGCAGGCCCTGTCACGTCCCAGCTCCGCGTTTCGCCAGGCCCCTGTTCTGAGACACCGCACCAACGCCTCAGCTTGGCCAAACACGGGGACCCAGGCAAGCCCAGCCAGCCAGCCAGTCAGGCGAACGCACAGCTGAAGACGCCCTGCTGCGAGTGTGCAAGATTGGCGGCTTCAGTGCCTTTGCTTCTGCTGCTGTCGCTGTTGTTCCCGCTGCTGCAGAACAAGACTCGCGCGAGATGCAACATCAACATGGACCACCACCACCATCTCCACCTCCGTCACAATGGACGACATCCCTCCCTCCATTCCCTCCATTCCTCCATCCCTCACCCATGGATTGATTAGTTATCCCTTCTTTTCCCCCCGACCTGTCGAGGCCCATCCATGATTGGACGAGCGATCCCGTTTTTCCCGCCCCGGCTGCGACGGCGCTGTAGTCCGCTCTGTGTCGTCTATTCTTGCTTTGGATGAAAGGTCACCATGGCCCGTCCGCAACTTCGCAACGAAGATCAAACAGCCCAAACGTTTCTGATGGCTGGATGACATGCCCAGTGGCTGGCCCCGGTGGCTGTCGACATTACCCAGAAGCGGTGCGGACGGCGACTTTCTTGCCCAATTTTTCACTGTTAGCCTGTTCCCCCTGACATTGACTTGACATGACAGCGTAAGCGAGGCCCAGGAGAGAAACAGCCGAACACAGTGAGAGACTCAGAGAGAGGCAGAGAGCCAAACCTGGAAGTGCCAATCTCGCGTCCTACTCTACCTTGTCTACATCACGCCTCTGCTATTGCTGCAAGTTCCAGCAACACCAAACACGGTCCATTGCAGACAAGCGCCCTTCCCCCTCCCATCGATGGCTGACGGTCTGTGATCTCCCATCATTCTGGTAATCCGATTTTCGTGCCCGAAGCGGATCGTCTTGGCACTCGTCTCTTCTTACCTTCAGCGAAAGCACGCCGAGCGTCCCCCCTCGCCTAGTCTACTCTCTCTTCCTCTTTCTCTCCGTACCTCTCAATTCTTATCGTTTTGTTTGGTCATTCACTTCTCACTTCCCAAATCTCAACACCAAACAAACATCCTATCGTTGGGATTGATTTGTTGCGTGTCGTTACTTTCATTCTCTTCCCTAATTAGCACCTGGCGTGCGAGGACTTCTTTCACATAGTTACATTTTTGTTGTCGTTCTCTTCTTATTCTCTCTGCTTTTCTCTCAAACCAACTTAATCATGTCCGAAAAGATCTACCGAGAAGTGCCGCACGAGGAGGAGGAGGTCGAGAGCCTGGCCGGGAGCCTCAACACGGAGAACACGGAAAACACGGACCGGCCGGCGTCGACATCGAGATGGAGGCGGATGAGAGTCGGCGATGAGATGCCGTGCAAAGAGAAGGCGCGTCTGCTTGTCGCGAGGTACTGGCCGTGGGCGGTTCACGGCCTGCTGCTGACGACGTCGATTACTTTCTTCGCGCTGGCGTTCTGCCTGCGTTTCGGCAACAAGATCGACGACCAATACTTTGTCAAGAAGTACTCTTCATACTGTATGTCTTCTCCGTCATTAAGACATGTTTGATTGAGCAGGAAGCTGACCCGAAAACACAGCCCCCGCCGCGGAAGTCGTCAAGTATCACAGCGAGAGATGGAAGCTGCTCCCCATCATGGACTTCTCGCCGTTTGTTGGAGCCGGGTGGGAGGTTGACCGTGCATGGGACCACATCACCAACAATGGTAAGGCTTTCTAATGTAATGGATGCATCGGCGGCTTCACGATGACTGACTGGACTGCAGTTGGCGACCAGATGATCTCTCACGCAGAGCTCGTCAAGCTCGGCCTCGACCCCAAGTCCATCAAGATCACCAACCCCATCACGGGCGAGGAGGGATACCGCGCCGGTCTTGAGGTCTTCCACCAACTCCACTGCCTCAACCTCCTCCGCCAGTCGTCGTACCCCGAGTACTACAACAGAACCGAGGTCGGCGGCGACGTTCCCACCGACGCAGAGGACCTCCGCGGCCACATCGGTATGTTCATCAAACCCCGTATAATTCATCACAATCACTTAACTCACGCATCTCTACAGACCACTGCATCGAGGCCATCCGCATGAAGCTGATGTGCGAGTCCGACATTGGCGTCTTCACCTTCAAGATGTACCCCGAGCTCCCCGTCGAGGGCCACTGGCCCGACTTCAGCACCCTGCACACCTGCCGCAACTTCGACGACATCCGCAACTGGGCCATGATTCATTCGGTGACGTTTGAGGATGAGGAATAGAGTTTTTGCCCTGCAGCCGGAAAAGGGGAGGCAAGGCAAAACGGCATTTCGTGCGCGGTGCGAGCGGGAAGGGATCCCCTTGATGGTTGGGTTGGCTTTGGTAGAGAAACGAAAAACGTTAAAATACATACAGCACATGAGCAGAGCGCGGCATTGCATACAACTCAAAAAATAAAGCCTCAGCAAAGTTCACACGTCCAGCGCCGTAGGGCGCAGCGCGCGTACACACATGTGAGCGGGAAAGACGGAAGTTTCTTGGCTTCTGTCATACCGCGGACCATATAAACTCAAGCTTGAGTTATGCTTTTCGGCACGAAAGACCGATGATTGAATTCAATCTGATAATCTCATCTTTCGGGGTCGAGGAGGAATTAGCTTTAGTCGAGGCCCTCAATAAGCTGTGATCCGGGCCCGCCTTCCAATCCACCAGAGCCACCTGGTACCGACTGGACTCCCGTCCAGTACCCGCCCTGATGGTCTAGCGGTATGATTCTCCCTTAGGGTTATCTTCGATAATCACGTATGGGAGAGGTCCCAGGTTCGATCCCTGGTTAGGGCCCAATTTCTTTTTGGCGTCATATCGGAAGTTTTCTCGGCCGTCAGTGCAAGTTCGAGGCAGCCTGTTTGGTTTCGTTTTGCCTCACCTGTCAAGAATGCATCTAGAAACACCAGCGAATAACGGGCGGGAGGTGTGTCTGCTGACACGGGCACTTATGCGCGATGCGGGTGCACGACTTAATTGAAGCCCGGTGCCTGTCTCGCCCTGGCCCTCCTCCTTTTTGTCTTTCCTACTTCAATAAACCCTTCCTCCCCCTCGCAAGTCCGCATACTTTTGCAGCATCCTTGCATGGAACAAGGCCAACCCGGGCGCGCCACGACGAGACGAAATAAGTTCAGGGTTTCCATGGGACGGAAGAAAACTCCCGAGGCCAGCATGTCTTGCTCGTTTTGAATCCTTCTTTTGTTCCGCGGAGCTTGCGCTGGCTTGGCGGATCGCGCATTCCATGGAACGAGTTCGCGCGGTATGCGAGATAAGCTTCTTTCGTGAATCGTGCTCTCAGAGTTTGGCTAGCATATTTACATTACTACTTACAGCCATCTGCCCGCCCGTTGGATCGCGCGGAACAATCGCGTGGAACATGCGGCTTAATTGTCCGTCGCTGTCATCCCAGTGTCTTTCCATTTCGCAAGCTTTTGACTCGCATCGCCCACGAGAGCGCGCCCGTTCAACCCAGCCGGGCGGGATTGCCGTAAACGCGGGGGATGCTCCTCACGTAGTCAAGCATGGAAAGGCGCGGCGGTCGGAAAGAAACATTGATTGATAATCGTCAAAACTTTAGATTGATTTTGTTTGTCTATCGACCCCTAACCACGGGGTTTTACTGTATCCAGGGGTATCTCTTCCTCTCTCTGTCTATCACTCTTCAATCCACATGAATCCATTACAACAACACAAAACTAGGCCGCGCTCGCCGAACTAAATCCAAAACCGCATGTATCATTTTTTGTCCGATGGATGGCGAAGATGCCGGCCTACACATCCTCGACGTCCTTCTTGGTCACGATGCCGAGCTGCTTGTTCATGATCTCGTCCGGGTCGCCGGCGCCGGCGTCCAGGACCTCGAGGTTGCCCTGGGCGTCCTTGGTGCCGGTGCGGTAGCCCGAGTGGCTGCCGAAGACGTACCAGACGTAGCCGGCGAGCAGGGCGGTGGTGGCGAGGAAGGCGAAAATGGTCCAGTTGCCCATGCTGTACATGGGGGAGTCGGTGCTGGGGAAGAGGAAGGGGGCGGAGATGCCGCCCGTGTTGGCGATGGCGATCATGCCGCCTGTCGCGAGGGCGGTGGCGGTGGAGCCTTGGACGGTTGCGGTGCGGTGCTGTTTATATGTTAGTCTTTTGTGATACTTTGTGTGAGGCTCTTCGAGGTGATAACTTACAGCAACGAAGGGGAGAACGGCGGCGTTGGTGCAGGCGATGATGCACACGGCAAAGTAGCGCACACCCCAGTGCTTCACGATGGCGAGGAGCAGGTACCCGATAGACACGAAGATGAGGGCGCCGATGACGTGGCGGGAGCGTTCCTTGGTCTTGTCGCTGTGCAGGCAGTTGCCGATGATGATGAACATGGCGAAGACGTTGGGCGGGACGGTGAGCAGCTGGGCGTTGTACCCCTTGAAGCCGAGCGAGGAGACGATCGTGGGCGCGAAGTAGCCAAAGGCGTTCAGGGAGTTGGTCATGAGGAAGTACATGACGGCGAAGAGCCAGAAGAAGGGGTCGGCGAGGGTGGACTTCGCGACCTTGCTGTCCCAGTGCTTGTCGCTCATGGAGGGCGCGTAGGGGCCGAGGCGCTTGACGGCGAAGGCGCGCTCCTCGGGGGTGAGCCAGGCGGCGGTCTGCGGGTAGTCGGGCAGCATGAACCAGACCATGACGCCGACGATGACGGCGGGGATGCCCTCGAGGATGAAGAGCCACTGCCAGCCGGTGAGGCCGCCCTTCTTGTTGAGGAAGGAGATGCCCGTGGCGAGGAGGCCGCCGAAGGCGCCGGCGACGGCGACGGAGGAGGCGAAGATGGCCATGCGGGTCGCGCGCTCTTCGGGCTTGTACCAGAAGCAGAGGTACATCATGATACCCGGGAAGAAGCCGGCCTCGGCGAGGCCGAGCATGATGCGGACGGCGAGGAGGCCGCCGTAGGTCGTGCAGGCGGCGGTGCAGATGGTGACGATGCCCCAGGAGACCATGATGCGGGAGATCCACTTGGAGGGGGAAAAGTACTTGAGCATGATGTTGGAGGGGAACTCCATGAGGACGTAGGGGACGAAGAAGAGCGCGACGGCGACGTTATAGCGGGAGCCGGTGAGGTTGAGCATCGTGACGATGTTGTCTTCGGGGGTGTCGTTGTTGAGTGTGCGAGCGTTACCGAGGTTGACGCGGTCGAGGTAGTCTAGATGGTGTTAGCTGATTGGCCTCGGTCTGGGGAGACTTTCTGAGAGGTTGATGGACATACTCAGGAGGTATGTGATGCAAATCCAGGGGAGGATGCGGAGATCCTGCTTCCTGACGATGCGCTTCTCCATCTCCTTGTCGGCGAGGTCGACAGTCTCCAGGCCGGGCACGTCCAGGGACGGTGCCGGGGAGAACAATGCTTTCCAGTCAACCATCTTGGCGGATGTGGAAAGTTGCTGCTTGTCGGTAGTTCGGTGAGGTCTCGGTGAAGGTGGTCGATCTAGGTAGAGGATTGGGCCCTGAGAGTTGAGTCAAGGGTTGATATAGAGTCGACGACCTATGAACCTTGTCGAACCCGTTTGCTGACGGCTAATTGTCGAAGTTGTTGATGACTTGCAGTTCATCCAGAAACCATCAACCCGTGGACAGAGGGAGTCGAGAGGTTGTTATAAGTTGACAACCCCTGACCGTTCCGCGTGGATGGTACGATCCATTCCGACATCCGCCCGCGAAGTTCTCCATAATAGTGCGTATCCCACCCCGCGAGCTATCTGTTTTAGAAACTGCATTTGTACAACCAAAATGTCTTCTCTTCCCTATGGTGGTGGCTCTTTTCCTTATCTCTGTCTCTGCAAGTCATTGACAGAGTTCGGGGGTTCTCTCCGCCGCCTAGAGAATGATGAAGCGCTTGGGCGAAGTCAATTGGTAAATGCCGGCGGGGGAGATAACGCATTCGCCAATCAGATGCCGCGCACTACTCTAGATAAGGTCAAGTCTGGGCAAAAAAAAGTTGTCAGTTCCGGGGACGACCCCGGACTCGGGAGGGAGAACCATTTCCCAGGCCTTAGATTGAGCGCTTGCCCTGACATGTCGATAGTCTTCTTCTCGGCCTGCGTCCGATCCTCGGGCAGGCTAACTGAAAATTTGCGAACAAAGAAGGCGAACGGCGGCAACACACATGCCAGAAATGTGAGAACTTGAGAACAGATGCATCTAGAAGCCCTGTCAGATATGCCGCATTTCCGTGGCGGTCAGGCCGAATCAGACGCATCTCAGAGGGCCAATTCCTACTTCTGCGGCTGTCAGCCTGTCGCTTGCCAAGTCTGCAGATGCAAAGACATGAGGATATTATTCAAGACTTCTCCGTGGGTCTCCGGGACAGTGGACTTAGATCGAAAGGGGGGCCGTTCGTGCATGATGCAGCGCAGCAAGCGGAGTGCAGCATCTCATTGCTTCGGGAGACCACGCTCTTCCTTATCGCCGGATCCATAGAGAAGCTTAGGGTTGTCCCTTGTTAAAGGACTCCTTTCTTCGGATATTCGTTCCAGCTGCTGTGCCTCTTTCTCGAGCTCTCGATATTACACCCGCGGAGGGAGGCCGCATACAAGAAATCCTGTTCGTCTCATCTCGTTGACGTCGGGGTTGCTGACTCGCGCACCAAGGAACCGGCGGTTTGGCGCTCGGTGATGGCTGCTGATAACGGCCTGCTGGCGTGGCGTGGGAGAGGCGGCGTTCTCGCGACGCCTCTTTGGTGGCAATTGCAAGCGATTCTTGAATCGTCCTAGGTGTTACTCGCCGGACGACTATTACACGAAGCGATTTGATCAAGATGGGCCCATCTACGCGTACTATGTGCCAACCCCCGTTCCCCGCCACCGGGCTCCATTCACACGTGAGGGCCACGGTTCACCTAACCCATGATGACATGAGTTCCTTGGTGAGCATGGCAATCAGGTAAGCAAACCTCTATGAGAATGAATGAATGAAAGGCGACGCATGCGCTGAATTATCGCTTGCAAAAGCGAAAAAGCCCTGGTCTTGCGTCTGCCGAGATGTCTAGGCATCACCGACAGCGCGGGATGTGGCGCCATGGCGTCTCCGTATTTCGGCCTGCTGCTGTCTGATCTGGGACTCCGAGGGATATGATGACGATAGAGCTTTACTTTACACTATTGAAGATGAGTTGTAAGACGAATGCGATATCAAAGACCCGAAGAGAGGGCCCCAGGGCAATGGCCCGATGGGCGGCGCGCGAGACACAGACACATGCGCGCGACGCCCGCCGGCGGCCTTATTCTAAGTGGCTGCAGCCCTAGGCCCGCTGCCCGGCGGGCATGAGTGGGTCCGCCCTGAGCCGATCGGCAAAGATGCAGCGGAGAGAAGGAGTTCCAGCTCTTTGCAGGTCTCTCTTTACGGACCAGGCACCCGTAAGCATCAATCCAGCCGTTGACAACTCGTGTTGAGTTAATTATCAAGGGAGTTTCCGGAAGTTCGGAAGCTAACTACTGTAATTGTCCTGCACCTTTCAACTTTGATGATCACCGGCGACGTTTGAGATTCATCACTCGTGGCCGAGGCCGCCAAACACAGCCGCAAAGAACACATCGTATCTCACCGACATCGGCCTTCAGCTATTATTGACAAAGTTGTCAGCATCTTTTCTTTCCATCTCTTTGGCTGAACAAGTTCTCTCCTTTCTCTTCTTGTCTTCTTTTCTTTTTTGAAATATTGGGGATCTTCAACAGTTATTATTTCCTAACTAATATGACCCAGGTTTAGGTTCTAGACAGGCTGCAATCAGCCCCCTGAGCACCTATTCTTGTTCGTATGGCTAGCTT